TCACAGTAGGACTCTGGGATTTCCTGTGCTCGGTGTGTGTGTGGGTGTAAGTGCACTCACAGTTAGACCCAGGTAACATCCAGCTGGGCACCGATGAGCCGTGTTCCAACAGGGAAAGCACCTGTTTTATCAGTCTGACCCGAAGCGTTTTGATGTACCCTGTGCCTCTCCTAGGTGTGCATCAAAGTCACCATCATCAATTTCACGGTGACCAAATCAGGTCTGGAAGACCAGTTGTTAAGGTAAAAAATGGTGGGGGGGCAAATATTTTTGTTTAGAAATTTTGACTGAGAAAAAGATTAGCTCGCAAATAGAGGGATGGGAGACGTGAGTTCGCGTGTTTAGACAGGTGAAGCCAGAGGTAAGGCCCCTTCTTAGATTCAATCAAGAACCGTTCACGGAGGTGGTGGGATTTCAGAGTCTCCCACATCAGTCGGAAAAGAATGTTTCAGGCACCATTTGCAGGTTGACAGAAGCTGTCGTTAGAGATGGAAATTGAATGATTAGAGAGCGCAAGCACTGAGCAGGCTTTCCTACGAGAAGACGAGCAGAAGCTGCGGGAGCTGGGGGCAGGGTGCAGGGCCCTGAAATACCAGGTAAAGAGTCAGAACTCACATGTAGTGCAGTGAGTAGCCACCGTATAAACCCAGCGAAGGAGGCACCTTGTGCACTGGGGTTTGGCTGGTAGCATTAGTATTCAGAACAGGAACAATTAGAAACGTGGAAAAATAAAATAGAAGCCACCTTAGGGCCCCAGCAGAGACCCAGCTTAGGTCTTCGCTTTGGCATTAGCGATGTGGTGCGGCTTGAAAAGCCTGAGCTGGAAGAGCAGAGGATCAAGCTCATTGTGAGGATCAACACCGATAAAAACCAGCTGAAAGCTATCGAAGAGAAGATCCTCAAAATGCTCTTCACATCTGAGGGAAATGTTCTGGACAATGAAGAACTCATTGACACACTCCAGGACTCAAAGGTGAGTGAAACACTTTTATTATTTATACAAAGTGTGTTAATTCGGAAGTTATCTACAGCCTTGGGGGTCCTGAAGAGTCTTTAAAGAATGGGAGCCACCCTTGGGCTGCCTGGGGCACACACACAGGCAAGCCTGGCTGGCAGGCTCCCCACCAAGCAGGGGAAGACACGTGAGCTGTAGTGACCACTCCTCTTGTCCTGCCTGCCTTTTGGAAACAAAGCCTGTAACGTAAAGAACTGGGACACGATTTAAGCCGAAAGGAACAACACAATTACATGCTCATTAATGTCACCCCCTCCAGGAAGCCTCCCTGGTCTTCCCAGCGGGAATTACTCACCTCCTCCTTGGAACACCTGTAGCACCGTACCTGCCTCTCTAATGCAGCACTTGTCACTGTCTGCCTTACGTCAGGGCCCTCCAATTACATGCCTTTTCTTTTCTGGTAGGTTTTTAAGTTCTGCACAACAGGAATCTATTTTATAAATCATGTGAGTTCTTGGCTTTCACCTCTGCCAGCTTAGCAACCCATTTTCCTGGGTCTGCTAAGTCACGACCACTCTGCTGTCTGCTTTCCACCTCTCAGATTTCCTCTTCCATTCCTCCCATCTTTGTGGATTGGCAGTTTTTTAAATCACTTTGCAATAACTCTACCGTGGTTCCAGCAGTGGGTAAAGGTAGACACATGTGTTCTGACCACCGTCTTTAGCTGTAAACTGTTTCCATTTGCAAGGTGTTGCCTTGAAGACACCCTTTCTGGCAAGTACAGACAGGACTGCATTTCCTGCCTGTGGTCTGTGCTCCCTTAAACCCCCTGGGCCCTCATTTAAACACAGGACTCATTCCTCTCCCACTGCTGAAGCCTCCAGTCGCCGGGCACAGTGTCTGTAAGTAGCTACTAAACTCAGCGGACGTGTACATTCTTCTCACATGCTCTGGCAAAGAGAAGAAAACGGGCCACTTCGCTTTCTCTTTAGCCCTGGGTTCTGGCGTGCTCACCCAGGAAAGAACTGTTTGGGAGTGAATCTGCAGGATCCAACTGCTCCCATGACAGCTTCCTTTCTTCTGCTCAGATAAAAGCTTTAGTTGAGTCCAGTATTGTTTCTCACCCAACTCTACCGCTTCTTGGCCCCTCAGGTTCCTAACAAGTCAATACCGGGAGAGTCTGAGCCTTGCCTTCCTGGACGCGGCCTCTGCACTGTCCCTCCCTCCCCTCTCCCGGGGGCCGGGGTGGACAGTCTGGCTTAGCCACTAGCCACGGTGGCTGCTGAGCCCCTGAAATGTGGCGAGTCTGAATGGAGACGTGCTGTTAGTGTAAAATACCCACCAGATTTCCAAGATTTAGTCCCCCCAAAATGTAAAACTATCTGAGTAACTTTTGTATCGATTATATATTGGTGTCTATCAAGATACATCAGGTTATACTGGGTTAAGTAAGATATGTTGTTAATTTAATGTTACTTGTTTCTTTTTGCTTTTCATAAACTTAGAAAAGTTAGAATTGTATCTGAGGCTCACATTATATTTCCACTGGGCAGTGTGGCTCTGGACAGAAACCCAGTTGTCCCCTGCAGTCCTCCCCTCGGTAGAGCAAATACTGGCCTCTGGTCCCGGAGTGATTTTTCAGGGCCCGTGGCCTGGACCCTGTGACTTCCTAGAGGGAGAGCATCTCCCAGCCTAGGGGTACCCACACCTGAGAGAGAGGAGCGGGGTGGTGGGGAACAGGGACAGGCAGCAGTGGAGAAAGACAGGCTGAGGGAGACAGAAAGGGAATCTTGGAAAGCCCACTGGCCAGAGGCGCCCCAGAGCCACAAATCCAAAGTACAGGAAACCAGAACAGCAAGAGATCTCGTCAGCGTCTCCAGCTTACTTACGTTTACCACCTTCCACAAACGACGGCTTCCAGCCCCGGGTTCCCTGTGTCCACACCCGGGATGCTGGGAAGAGGGAGAGGCATTCTCTTCTTTGTTATTCCAGAGCGGGACGTGGTGCCACGTCCTTCCAGCCTCTCCCCACCCCCCACTTCCTTGGGGGCAGTTTCATGGGGGTCCCTTCTCTCGTCATAACTCTTCATTACGTGAACCTGGGGACTGCTCACCAGGAAGTCGGGGAGCGACTGGAAGTGCGTGTTGGTGTTTCCTTCGGGGTAACCCAGCTCCCAGGCTCAGACAAGCACTGCTCCGCTGCCTCCCGGGCCCCCTGAGTTGCCTCTTTCCATTTGCCCATCCCTGACTCCATGAGGAAAGGAGGGCAGCTCAGTCCAAAGGTCACTGAGTCCTGAGACTCAGTCATCTGCCCCCCCCTTTTTTAATTTTTCAGTTTTATTAGGTAGAGTTGTTACAATTCAGCTGCACATATACAATATATTGCATATAAATACATATACACAATGTACTGCACATGTATTTTTTAATTTACATATATGTACTATTCATTGTTCCTAAAACGTTTGGAGCTTTAGCTTTTTAGGGGGGTAATTAGGTCTACTTACTTAGTTTTAAATTAACCTTTCTTTTAGCGAAGGTACTGGGGATTGAACCCAGGACCTTGTGCATGCTAAGCATGTGCTCTACCACTGAGCTACACCTTCCCCCAAGCTTTAGCTTTTTAAACTTACACAGTTAGCAAAGGAATAAAGCCCACCACAAAATTAGAATTAATTCAAAGAGATACATACACCCCGCTATTAACAGCAGCATTATTTGTAATTGCCAAGATATGGAAGCATCCTCAGTGCACATCAATAGATGGATGGATGGATAAAGAAGTTGCAGCATATATATGTAATGGAATACAACTCACCCATAAGAAAAAAGGATATTTTGCCATTTGCATGGGGGCACCCTTATTACAATCACGAATTCATTGTATCTTTATTACTTTCCTAGACCTAACTGGGTATGTTCCAAAAATCCCACTATGTTTTTGGAGACAAGAGCCTTAAAACTGGTTTCATTTATTTATTTAATTGATTTACAATGTTGTGTTAATTTCTGGTGTCCAGACAGTGATTCATATATATGTATCTGAATATATATGTATTCCTTTTCCTGTGCCCCCTTATTATAGGCCATCACAGAGTAGGACCCTGTGCCACACAGTAGGACCCTGTTCATTTCTTTTATACACAGTAGTTAGCATCTGCAAATCCCGAACTCCCAATTTCTCCCTCCCCTCTCACTTTCCCCTCTGGTAACCATAAATTTGTTTTCTGTGAAAACGACATGCTTTAGAAATGAAAGGAAGAATAAACAGACTCTACAGGGATCTTCCGGGAACGCAGCTTTGCACATCGGTGCACGGGGTCCTCCGCTCTGTCCCTTCACTCCTTCAGCGCCTTGCGGGGGTCTTGTTTTCTTCTGTTTCCTCAGATCACTTCCGGTGCCATTAAAATCAGGCTGAAGGAGGCAGAGTCCACGGAACAGATGATAAACGTTGCCCGTGAGAAGTACCGCCCGGTGGCCACTCAGGGCTCTGTGATGTACTTCGTGATCGCGAGCCTCTCGGAAATTGATCCCATGTACCAGTATTCGTTAAAATACTTCAAACAGGCAAGTGTCTTGGTGGTGGTGAAATGTATCTCC